GTCTGTATATCTCGCAACACAGCCTGTGTGTTTCTCTGACCAGCTTCTAGCTCCAAGAACTTGCCAGAAGCTTTCTCCATGAACTGCTCAATGTTAGTGAACTTACTCGCACTGGAGGAGGCCAGAGAACCCACCAGATCTCTGGAGTGGCTGCTGTTGCTGCTAAAATTGCCCCTGTCTGGGCTGGTATGGCCTCTGGAAACCGGGAGGTCCCTGGGGAGCTGGTGGTCTGGGATTTGGCCCAGCCCAAGAAAAGTTAGGATGCTGGCGCCACCCCTCATTATAGGTGTTGCTGTAGGGGTCAAAGCGCCTGGCATTCCCGATGAAATCCACCTGCTCCTGGGGAGTGGACGACTCCCTCATAGCCTGACAGTCCTCCACGGTGTGATGAGAGCTCTCACACCACTGGCAGTGCATCGCCTGCGGCTGTCCGGTACCTGCAATCAAACCAGAACGATCGATAGCTGAAACCAGCTTCGATACCACCTGCACCAAATCAGATGACTGGGTGCCCACAACATGCACACCCCGTCCAGTTGCTCGTCTCGATCTCCTGGCAGTGCCCCAGTCGTACCCGTTCTCCGCCATCTCCTCAAAGAGTTGATTCAGCTGTGGCGGGGTTTTTGTCAGCATGTTCCCGCCACAAACCGAATCGATCAGCTGCTTGTCCTCCGGGAAGAGGGCGTGATAGAAGGTGCCCACCTTGAACGCATCGTTGAAACCATGATTGGGACACCTGAGAAAGAGGCTGGTGTACCTCTCCCAAGCATCCCGAATGGTCTCATCCTCATCCTGAGAAAAATGTGTAATCTGCTTCTGGAGATCAGCTGTCTTGGATGGAGGATGGTAGCGGGTGAGGAACTTGTCCGCCAGGTTGGCGAACGTGGTGATGGAGCCCGGAGGTCGAGTGTCTAGCCACTCCTTGGCCTGCCCCTCCAGAGTGAATGGGAAGTACCTCAGCTGGATGGCATCTGCCGGTACCCCATTGATCTTGATTCCATCGATGAGCTCGTGGAATCGCCTGAGATGTGATCGAGGGCACTCTCCCTCCTTACCACGTAACACTACTAAACCGCGCAGCATGGTGATCACGGAGGTGCTCACCTCAAAGTTGTTGGCTGGGACCTGAGGGTGTTGAATGGGGGACCTCATGTCCGCAGCCCTAGCGGTCCAGTAGGATCCCATGGTTTGCTCCTCGGGGATCATAGCATGGTTCTGCGGATCACCCATCTCTCCTTCTTCTTCTTCTCCTAACTGCAGCTGTGTTAGCGCCTCCTCCGCAGCCATTCGCGCCTTTAGAGCCCGCTTGAAGTTCCTGCAAGTTCGTTCAAGCTCCTGGTCTAACGGTAGTAGATCTCCCGACTGGCTACGAGTCATGCACTACCTGCACACAATCAGCAGAAGCAACCCGTGAAGGCACACAGGTGGAAGAGATAAAATGCAGTAAATAAAAGCTAGAGTAACAAATTCTCACGTTTCCCCAATAATCTAGAGGGGTCCCCGGCAACGGCGCCAAAAACTTGACACGCCAAAACACAACACCAAACTGCGACCAAGTGTAATCGCAGTCCGGGAATGCAGTAACAGGCAAGTTTAATTATCAACCCGGGGTCTAGATCTACTGCTTACTCCGTGATTCTCTATTATCTAGCAAACTAATTCGAGTGATTGTTGTTTAAAGCAAAAGCAGTAAGAAAGCAGGAAATGGTTCGGTTTTCAAAAGCAAGTAAGAGTCACTCGGGATTGAGTCCCCCTAGCCCCTTAGTTAGGTTCAATTGCAATTCCCTGGGTTGATTTACTGTTGATTAGACTGCGGAAGATCCGACAGTAGCTTGGAATCTCTTAAGCTGACCAAGCCCTCTCAGTCTAACTACCCGGCAGACGACTAGTCTTCACTGGGATAGAAAGCTGAGGCTATGAACACAGAACTCCACTACTGGCGCCAAGAACACCAGCACAAAGCAGTAAACTGGCTAACTCTCGTATAGCCAATCTCCTACTATCGAATGAAGAGGCTCTAACAACCAAATCAGATTCTATCTATCTCAGGTTGAAGCAGAAATTGAGACAAGCTGATCAGACTCAAATCAATTCATTAAACATGCGTCATTCGATTAAAATCAAACAATAATATCATCCCAAGTCATTACAATCAAATCCCTAACACAAGGAACTAGGGTTCTTCATACCCAAGTGAGAGAAAGGTTCTACTCCATAGAGAGAGAAAGGAAAACAGAAATCAGAGTAGCCATACTCATAAAGATGAGGAAAATCTGCTCTGGGATGTCAATCTTCACTCCTAGGGACGCAATCTGGGCTTCAATGATGAGAAATCCACTCCAAAATAGCTCCTAGGGTTTGTTCTTCGCTCTTTCTCTCTCTAAAACTCTGTTTTTGCCCAGAAAATCGAATTCCCCTTCCTTGGCTCGAATCTGCCTCCAAAAACCCGACTCTGGGCGAATTACGGGCAGAATTACGGCCGTAATCACTTCCTGCCCGTAATTCGCACCAAAACGCACGTTTCACTTAAGCTGCAGGAGGAGGAGATACGCCCGTAATCTCCCAATTACCGCCAGTAATTTGGGAATTACGGCCGTAATTCTTGGGGTCTTGCCCGTAATTTTACCACCGAGAAGAATTGCTGGGGAGAAGCCTCAGCCAATTAATTACGGGCATGCCCTGGCTAATTACGGCCGTAATTTAGCAGGGGCTGCCCGTAATTCTGTCTGTGCTTCGCCAATTGACCTCCAAATGACCCGAAACTTGCGCCTATGCACCTCTTTACTTGCTAGGACCTGAAATACGACAAAACAACACAACCTAGCGTAAAATAGGCCAAGGAACAATCAATTCGAGCCAAAATGGACAGGAAACCAGAGTGAAAACACGTGCAAATACGATGCTATCAATGTGGTAATGTTTTCAACCTAAAATTCTCCTTGTTTACTCCTCACCATTAATTTGAAAAATATAGGAGAGAGACGGGAGAAAGAACGCATCCAATGGCTAGAAAGGGGAAGTGAATCTCACATCCCTCTTAGAGGGAAGTGCGCTATCCCATCCCCGGATTAATGTTATTGATACATGCCTCTAATTCGATGTATTAAGAGAAGCTTATATTTATATATAGCGTACGCCTAACGTACGCTATACGCATGCGTTCACAGTTATTATTTGGACTTTGATAATTTCAATGAAATAGAAATGTTAATTTCATTTTAAGATTGAATTAATCATATGGTTTGGGTCAGAGAATTGAGAACTAGGGTTCACCCATTATAGGTTAGGGTATAATATCATGCACCAAACTCCAGTTAATTCATGGTCTAAATAACAAAACTCGGCGAGCGTATGGTAAGATAAGTGTACGCTTGCACTATATATTTATATATATGACAAAGGATAGCGTACGACCGACTTAAGTTGTATGTCTGCGTTCACACCTATTATTTGTACTTGGATAATTCCGACGAATCATAACTGTTGATTTCATTTTGAAATTAAATGAATCTTATGGTTGGAGATTGGGGTTCACCCATTAGAAGTTAAGGAATAGTATCATGCCTCAAACTCCTGCTAATTCAATATACTCTAGGTGATCTGGTCTTTAGATGCACTTCGATGAGCTCCAACCAATGTCAACAGTCAACTATTATTTTCTATTAAACTGAACGTCGGGTTGGGGTTTAGAGAATTCTGGTATAGAGTTTATCCATTAGAGGTTAGGGTATAGTATCTCACCCAAAATATGTTTAATTCTTCGTCAAGACAGAGTTATCTCACCAGAATTACCTGGAGTATAGTATACTCAAAAGGACGCTATATATATATATATATATATAGATAGATAAATACTTAAGGCTATCGTACGTCAGAAGTAAATTGTACGCCCGTTAATTGAGGCAATATACAAGTGTTGTATACAAAAATTGAGGCGATATACAAAAATTGATGCTCAACCCACAAACTAGTGCATAGTTCGCTTTTCACTGCAAAGAATAACCTTGTTCGCTGCTCTCTGCTGCGAACTACTATATAATTCACTCCTTATTGCATCAAAGAACCTTGATCACTGCTCTCAACCGTGAACCAACTACTTGTTCGTTAATTTGTGAAGCAAACCCGACAATTTTTATATTTTGAATTTTTTATTACAAGTATTGTTATTGTGAGAATTTTTTTTAAGGGGTCGTTTGGAAGTTGTGATTGTTTTGGTGAGATTCTTACTATACATGGATTGTTTATGTGACATGATAAAAACTATCACTCAGAATGAGTGATTATTATAACTCAATTTTTAGTTGCAATTGTTGTGTTGAGATTGTTGTCTCAATTTTTAGCTGATATGATATACACAATCACAAATACCAAACATTATATTTCACCATACATCAACTTTATATGTATAATAATATACATGTATTCACAACAATACATCTATTTATCGAACACAACATCCACTACTAAATCACTTTCTACCCTAAATCACTTTTTTATTTTATTTTGGGAAAACATCCTTTTATATCAAAGCTTTTTCTTTATGCCAGCAGATGGCCAAAAATTATTCTCTATTCCTTTCACTACTTTCTCTGTAGTTGAAATCAATCTTCCTTTCCTATCTCTCTTTCAGTTGTCACTCTCACGCGTAAAAAAAGCACGATTCCACGACCGTCCTTCTACATTTTCCCCTTCCTTCCTTTCTTCCTTCCCCCATTTATCTCTCTCTCCTCCACAAAATCCTTTCTTTCTTCCCTTGTTGCCGTCTGATGATGAACCCAAACCCTGCGGGTCTTCTTCCTTTTCTTCTCTCTTAGCCGGATCTTTCACTCTCTCAGCTTCCAAAATTACTCTGGTTTCACAGCTTGAAGATCAACACTCTGTCTCCCCTTCTCAGATCTTTCCCCCTGCTTATCCATTCCCTGAAATTTACCAAATTCCTCGCGAAACCCACAATTCCTCTTTGCTTTTTGCCGGAGAAATTTTACTGGGGGTACAAAGAAATGCAAGATCCGTCGTCGGTGGACTTCCCGGGGATCAGGCCGCCGGCACCGTTCCCGGAGCAAGAGTTGCTGAAGTGCCCGCGCTGCGACTCTGCCAACACCAAATTCTGCTACTACAACAACTACAACCTCTCCCAGCCCCGGTACTTCTGCAAGGACTGCCGCCGATACTGGACCAAAGGCGGCGCTCTGCGAAATATCCCCGTCGGCGGCGGCACCCGGAAGAGCAGCAGCGCCGGCAAGCGATCTTCCAATCCGAAGCGCGCCAACCCGGATCCGACACCGGATTCTCCACGGGTCACCCGCCGGGTTTCCGAGGCACCTCCCTCGCCGCCGCCCTCTTCCTCGACACCTGCCGCCGTCGCCGATACTTTCTCTGCTTCTACTCAGCAATATCGGCTGCCGACGACGGAATCAGAACCGGGTCAGAACCCGACCCGGGTGTACGGGCTGGAAGCGGATCAGGAGCGGAAGTTCGCGGGTGTTGGGGTTGGTGGCGGGAGCTTCAGCTCGCTTTTGACCCCCAATTCTCAATTCGGGGGAATCTTCGACGGGTTGAGCACGAGCGGGTCGGATCTGAAATCGGGGCAAGTGGGTGGTTTGTTTGGGGAGGATTTGAGTTCGGGTTTGAGTATGGGTTCGGGTCGGGAAATGGGTTTGGATGTGGAGTTGCAAGAGAGGGGCGGGGGCGCCGGTGGTGGTAGTGGCGGCGGCGACGATGGCGGCGGAGGAGGGTATTTGCAAGGTGGAGAGTGGGGGAATAGCAATAATGGATGGCCGGATCTTGCTATCTACACGCCAGGCTCTAATTTCCATTAGATAGCAAAACAAAAGAGGATTAACAAAAGTCGTTTTGTTCCCTAAATCAATTAAGGTTTATTATTATTTTGTTGGCTGCTTTTGTCCTTCTCTCACTTTGAGTTTTAATTTTTATATGGATTTATTTTATATGAGCACATTAGGTATATGATGTATTTTGTGGGATTATTATAGATTTAAATCCCCTAGCCTTATGTAATGCTATGCAAATGCAATGAAAAGTGATTATAGAAGGTTCCAAAGCTTCAACCCTATCGAGCGTCTCTCTTTCAAAAAATTTAATCAACACATCTATTGATGCTTTTTCCCTTTGTTTAGTGGAGTCGATAAAATTTTCTCTAAATTCATAATTTGAGATGCTCTTAAAATATCTGATGATGTTTTTATTGTTTCACATGTCATATATATCGAATTTTGTATTTAATTTTACTGACAACAATTTTTTCCCAATTTTTCTTGTATGAACTAGCTATGTGCCATTAAAATTTTACGAGACAAGTTTATGAATAACCTAATATCTTTTCAACATACAAAAAAAAAATAATTTTGATACCCAACCACAATATGAATTCTTATTAAATAAGTGAAAGTAATAATTTCGGACTAGTTACCGTCTAAAAATAATGTATTGCTAAATTTCAGGTCTTTTGATGTTATTACTTATTACAATGAAAAAGTAGCTGATAGAAAAGATGTTTATTCGGGATCCACGGACTGAAGAGTGAAGAATAGCTTATAGTAGAGAGAGTAGGAGATGCAAGTTCTCGGAAATGAAGAATATGTTTTCTCTATAGTACAAATATGTTTTGGGATCATACGAATATGTATTGTGTTTAGTACGAATATGTTTACTAACATGTGGTATGCTCATTCTGAATATAAGTTGTGAAAATTAAAAATATACAAATCACACATATGAAATATGTTTTTTTTCCATAAAAATATGAATTGTGTTCAATACAAATATATTGTTTGTTTAATACAAATATAATTTTTGTTCAACTAGAATGTACATATATAACTTGTATATAGGGTGTGTAAGTTAAATTTTGTTAGACACAAATGACCCACTTGTCAGTTGCTTTTCAGTTAGTGTGATGTGATTCTGTCCCCCCCCCCCACCTCCCCCTTCCCTCGGTCGGAATTACTGGGGAATTTGAGTTGTGACCGGGGCATGGTAAAGGAAACCGGATCGTACCGGCCGGTTGAACCGGTAAAACCGGAAACCGGCGCCTGGCCGATACGGTAGCCGTTTTGTAGTGAAGGAGCCGTTCCGGCCGGTTTCCCCGGTAAAATCGGTTTAATTCAAAAAATCGTCCGGTTTTGGTCTAACCGGGGGTAAGCTGCTGGGAAGAACATGACGTCGTTTTGGCATTAGGGAAAAAAAAAAATTCGGCCGAAGCCTCAAAAACAAAACCCTAAATCCATCGGCCGCAGTCGTCGTTTTTGTTTGCTGTTGCTGGCGACCAGGACCGTCCTCCCTCCTCTTCTTCTCAAGCTGCGATCGGCGACCCAACGATCCTCCTCTCGCTTCCACCGGCCATGGCGGTTCTCGTAGGCTGTTGAATTTCAGGCGGCGCCCGTCTCCCCATCCCTCGTTTCGAGTCAGGTGCGGGGTTTCAAGTTCGTTTGCTGCTGCTGGCGACCAGGACCGCGGTCCTCCCTCCTCTTCTTCTCGAGCGGCGAGCGGCGACCCGACGATCCTCCTCTCGCTTCCACCGGCCATGGCGGTTCTCATAGGCTGCTGAATTTCACGCGGCGCCCGTCTCCCCATCCCTCGTTTCGAGTCAGGTAAGGGAATTTTTGTTGCTTTGAAGTTCGTCGACCAGGGGTTCTGTTGCTTCAATTTGATTTGCAGAAGCTGTGCAGCGTCCAAAGACCAACCACGTCACCAACAAACAACACTTTGTTTTCTTGTATAATGATGATTAACATGTTTATAATTTCCTGCTGTGTGGTTTGAGTTGGTCACTTTATATTACATATGCTTATTTAGTTTATTCAGGTTTGTTATCCGGTATATTCCGGTTTTATTCCGGTATTATTCCGAAACGGTATCACAAATCTGCCGGTACGGTTTGTTAACAAAAAAATATTATTTAATTACAAAAATGATATTTTGCCGGTACACAACGGTTGAACCACAGTAGTACCACAAAATACCCTACCACTGGCGGAGCCGATATGACTTCCGGTACGGTTTCCTTTACCATGGACCGGGGATCTCAAGCAGAGGCACCCCAGTCAGGTGAACTTAAATCCTTAACCGGGGATTTGGCCATGACGAGTTAAACTTTCTTTTTGTTTAGTATTCGTTTTCATTTTTGGTGTTTTCATTAGTTTCATTTATCCAGACCTATTAAAGGTTGTAAACACGAATTTAGGGATGTGATTTTGATTAATTGAAAAACCCTTTTGTTCATTGAGCATAATGCTTGTGAATCTTGCTCTCGTCGTTGGTGAACTCCAATCGCATTTAGTTTTCTCTATATCAATGAAGTATTCCTCTTGATTGTGATCGAGCTTCTACCCTTATATTGTTCGAGTCTTCTCCCAGGTGTGAGATTACACGTCAATTCCGCCATATCCTTTACTTTTTCGAGTTGTTGAGAAAAAAATTCAGAAAAAACCTTATGATTGTGATTGCGCGTGTTTCGTTGGCGAAACTCGCGTGTTCAATGTGCACTGGTTTCAAGTAAACACAAAACACAAAATCAGCAAAAAATCGTCAAATATCCGCCGCCGGTGTCGGCGCCGTTGATTTGATCGATTAAAACAGAAACAAAGACGATCGTCAAATGGCCGCCGCCGGTGTCGGCGTCGTTGATTTGATCGATACACCTTTGACTTCTAATCAAACAACTGTTATTCGGTTCAACACCTCTCCAAACTACGTTCGAACGAGGGTGTTCGAATAAACAGAAAATCGAACCAGGAGTGTTCTAAGTTACGTTACCTCTACTCCTATGGAGGTTCCTCTGGAGAGCTCCGCGACTACGACTACAAGCTACAATCTACGACTCTGCAAAGGAGTTCTTTGACAGAGCGGTTCTACGAAACTAGAGAAAAAAGATAATTCTGCAATGGTGCAGTTGTGATTTTATTTTGCCCTCCCTAACTTCTCTCTCTTCCCAATCTTTATACTTCGCGCTTCTTCTCGTCGGAGTAACTGCCTTCGCGCCTTTGTGTCCCACGTCTTCACTCCTGTCAACCGTGCAGGTAACTTCCTCCTTGTTGCGTAACTCCCACGAGTGCGAAACCGCTTTGCTACGCAGCAACTTGCCAAAACGACATTGAGCCACCCTTGTAATTATCCACCCGGGTTCGATAATCCACCCCAACTCCTCAAGCCACACTACATTCATCCTTGTTCATAAAACGGCGGCGTATCACGAACAACACCGCAACGCTGAGCTCCCATCCTTGCAACATCGATGCACTCACAATATCATGGCTTACAACATTGACGTAGCTCTTAGTATCCCGGCATTGTCGGATTCCCACCATTGATGCCCAACTTTATTGAATTCATGATGTTGTTGAATTTCTCAACACTGAACTAAAGCTCATCAGCGTCGTCGAGCTCGCGACCTTGTTTTGGGCAAAACAGCCTCGCTTTCACGACACTGTTAAACTCTTGCAACACTGTCTTTGATTAAACAATGTTGTTTCTTCCCTAGTTCCGCAGGGTTGTTTTTACCTTCCGCGGCGTCGTATTCAACTAAACGACACCGTCTAAAATAATTATAAAATACTAATTAATTAAAACAACCCTCATTGATTTCTCGCCACCAAACTCTCACCCTTCGGCGTCGTTCTTAGTTAAACAACATCGTTTCCTTGTCCCGTTGAGCTTTTGAGCTTCGCGATACCGTTTTAACAATGCCGTTTTAACTGTTGCGGCATCGTTTGGCCTACTCGCCGTATCGTTTCTTTCTTCTTGCGGCATCGTTTTCAACTAAACGACACCGTCCTAAACAGCCATTTAAAATATTAATTAATTAATCCGTCCATCACTAGCTATGGCCAACGACCTCACTAGCGCCACACCGACTCCGTTTGTTCTTCCCTTTTGCGACATTGTTTGCTATTTTAAACATTGTCGTTTGCTAATCCGCGGTACCGTTGGGCTTACTCGCGGTACCGTTTGACTTAACCGCGGTACCGTTTGACTTAAACGACACCGCCGATATAGCCAAAAAATATTAATCCATGGAAACGCCGCAATCGGCGCTCGCATTGGGCCGTGTGAATTTTGGTCACTTGCCCATCGGTACCGCTTGCCAGGCTCTCGCGGCACCGTTTTTAAATCCGCGGTACCGTTTTAACTCTTCGCGGTACCGATTTTCCTCCTCCAACAAGGAATAAAAATATTAATTAATCATAAACAAAACTCCTTCTCCAACAAGAAACCACACGCGCGGCCCTTGTTTATTCTTCGGTATCGTTTCCAGTACCGCGGTACCGCTAAACCTCCTTGCGGTACCGTTTTACTCCAAAGGAATAACAAATAATAATTAAATAATCACAACTCCTCCTCACCCTTCATTAAACGAGCGGCCTCTTTATTTTCGGCCTGCGGTGTCGTTTCCGGTGTTGCGGTACCGGTCAGCTTCCTTGCGGTACCGTTTTTCTGTTTCGCGGTACCGTTTTAACTCCAAACGATACCGTTTTCTAACCCGCGGTATCGAATTAAATGCCGAGATTAATTAATGCGGCATTTAATCCCGGCCAAATTAATTTTAGGTGTCAACAAATGCCCCCCACAATTTGGTTTATAAGAATTATGAACCAAATTGTTGACACAACCCACAACACCTAAAATAACTTTCAAAACAACACCTGCTAAATACGAAGACAACATTGCAATCATAGCCAAGCATTCGCTTTAGAATATTGCTTGAATTGAGCCTCGGAAACTAGCGATGGCCACTACTCCTTGATATTTCATGACCATGCAACAACGTTGCTTATACCTTGTCAAGTAATCCTGCTGTGGT